GAAGACCGTGGTCAAGAGTGCCACGAATGTAGCGAAGGATACGCTTGAGTGCAGCCATATGAGGTTCCCTCGGATCATGCATGAATAAACATATTTGTTGCACATCATAGCAAATGTCGGGACGAGTAAACGTGAGGTATTGCAGTGCACCGACAAGGCTGCGATAGAGAGTAGGGTCAACAACGGGGGGTCCAGTGGTCGAAGACAACTTGCTCTTTGTCTCAGCCGGCGTAAGACAAGGGTTCGGGCCGGTTCCGGGCCGGTTCATACCGGTTCACGGTTCACTTTTTCCGGAACCGGAACCGGCCCGTAATATGCACGGTTCGACGGGCCGGGTCGGCCCGTCGGTTCGGGCCGGTTCCGGGTCGGCCCGTCGGTTCGGGCCGGTTCCGGGTCGGCCCGGAAAATTTGAATTTTTTTTTATATTTTTATATTTTTTTTTGAAATATTTGATGAATAAGTAAATTATAGGAAAAATTGGGGTGTCAGGGTATTTATAGGAAAAATTGGGGGGGGGGGGAGGGGGGGATTAAAAAAAAAAGCAAATAACAGCCGGTTCACCCGGGCGGGTTCACTAGCCGTTATTTGCTTTTTTTTTGAATTTTTTTGAATTTTTTTTTTAAATCCGGGTGAATCGCCGGGCCGGCCCGGTGGTTCGCGGTTCACCATTTCATAGAACCGGGCCCGTCCCGGGGAAGACGGGCCGGTTCACCGGTCAACATGTTGGGCCGGGTCGTCAACGGGCCGGTTCCGGGCCCAAAACCGGCCCATGGCCGTGTCTAGCAAGAAGCCATGTGTGCACGCTCTAGTATCTCTTCGGCGTACTTGCGTTGAGAGAGAAATAGCCCATTCGACGAGCGAGTAACTGAGATGCCGAGAAAGTAGTGAAGATCGCCTGGATCCTTCATTGCGAACTCCTGATTATGGTCAGCGATGATAGAGTGGAGCAATTGAGGTGTGGAGGCCATAAGTACAATGTCATCAACATACAGTAGAAGGTAGGCGCATGAACTGTTGCGATAGTCGCGTGAACTGTTGCGACAGTACACAAACAGTGAAGTGTCGGACTTGCATTCTCTGAACCCCATGGTAGTAATGTGAGAGGCAAAACGCTTATACCAAGCACGGGGTGCCTGCTTGAGACCGTAGAGTGGTTTGTTGAGACGACACACGTGAGTGGAGTGAGATGGATTGACGAATCCGGGAGGTTGCTCGCAGTAGACAGTTTAAGAAAGATTGCCATGTAAGAAGGCATTTTTCACATCAAGTTGGTGGATTGGCCATGATCGTGAGAGAGCAATACTGAGAACTGTTTGGACAGTGGCTGGTTTGACAACAGGGCTAAAGCTCGTCAAAGTCGATGTCAGCTGTTGGAAATCGGGCACGTGTACGCAGCGGAAAACAAAAATTTTATGCGAATTAAACGGATTTAAATCACATAATCGCATGCCCGACAATTATTTAACAATTAATTGCGTACCTTTGCGCTTCCAGCGAAAATTAAAATAACGACAATCATGAGAATTAATTTAATCGACAGTAAATCAATTAGCATGCTCGCAGTAAATCATGAATATCATATAAACATTAAATTAATACATATAAATTCACGAAACATACTACAAAAAATGAACATGGATAATTTAATCAAATTAAATTAAAACTAATCGAATACCGGATTCGAAATTTTACCTCTTGAAGCGTGAGGTAGGCGCAAGAATCGAAGCAAGACTGCCACAGAAACCAATCCGTGCAGTCAGGAGCGGCGGCGACGAAGCGACGGCGGCGGTGGTGCTAGCGACGGCGGCGCGTGTGGATCACGCGCTGTCTTCGGGCGACACGTGAGAGCGCGTACGGTGTCAGCTCGGGAGCTGCTCCTCGGTTCTTCGACTCTTCGATCTCTCCCCTCTCGGATTTCACCTTATATACTTCGATCTACTAAATACATGGCACTAGACACGCAAAAGTTAGAATAGACGGAAGAAAAGAGAAGAGGAAAATAACTACCAAAAACCAATCGCCGATTCCGGCGACGAACGGCGGTGGCGGCCGTGGGTTAGATCGACCGAGTGAGAAAGTTCGAGCGGCTAGGGTTTTGTAATTGTGTTGTGTGTTTGTGCAAGACCTATAAATCATGTATTTATAGTGTCTTGTATAAAAGCCCTAACGGGCTTAAGTTGGACCGGGCCCAACAGCTTAAGTTCGTTAGTTCCAACAGCTTAAGTTCGTTAGTTCTTTACTCGCTCGTTTCTCACAACTCAATGATCGGAAAATTGTAACGATTACATTTTCGGAATCATTGTAATGTCCTCATCATTACGAGTGCCAATTCTCTATTTCCAATTTCTAAAAGTGGAAACCCTAATTCAGTGCACTTTCTAAATTTGGAAACTTTCCGATTTAGAAAGTTCACTAAGATGTTCGCCTATTCTTTTCATTTTCTTATTCTCATTCATATTCCAAATTACGAATGTTGGACTCAATCATATTGACTTCAAATCATGCAAAGATAAAATATTTTTATCTCTGACCGTTTATTCAATGATCTCGAGTGCACGAGCAGTGTGACCCTCGATGGTTCAGGGGTAAGCTAGCCGTGGGTCCACAACCCTTTGTGGTCTAAACTTGTCCCTTAGAGTTACGATTAAGATGAAGCTCGTTTCACCTTAATCACCCAACGAATCAAGATTGACGTCTAGCAACTACGCGTCATGATTCCCTAGATACAAATGAAGTGCCTGCAATTTCCTTTTGATATAGTTAACGTACAGTACAATTCCTTCGATTCATATGTCCCGATTGAACTAGAGACATTAGTTCATCGAGACCTCCTTAGTAGTTCAATGACTGTGCGATCGTTCTAAGTGTTGTGATCGGTACGTGCATGACTTAGAGAATCGAATTCTCTAATCATCACTTAGTCAGCTCTGGCCAGAGACTTAGAGATTACAAACTATGAGAACAGACAGGACATCCAAGACTATTCTAGCTATCGAATCCCCGACTACAATGCACAGACCTCCCACTAGATTTCGGACTGCACGAGCACTGGGCCTTGGGGCGGTCCTCGGTGGAACTCAGGGACAGGTCACAATACAGCTGGTCCTCTAGTGAAGTCACGGTGATGTCTAGGTCATAAAGACTAATGGTGTACAACTATACCATAAATATCTCTACTCGATTATTGAGTACCACTTAGAGATTTCTAGGGTGAGGGAGTTCAGTGAACTCGTGAACTTACGAGCACCCACTTATGCATGCCGATATCACAATACCGTTTATTGATGAGATGCAGTACACATACACTAAGTGCTAGTCTCTTAATGGGAAAGGCCGATATCCTCATTGGTGGCGTAACCCTTTGACTAGGAACATGTTTAACAGTTATAATACTAAAGTAAATATCTCACGATCCTAAAGATCAATTACTAGTACTTATAATAACTGTATGGACTATATCTATGTTTAAGACAAAGGGACAAAGATATAGAATGCCAATGTGTTTTTATCATAAATACGATAAATGATTATTTATTACATGAATAAATGGAAAGAACACATCGACGGAAAAACTAGTAAGGACATAAATTGAAGTGAATTGGAAAATATAAGGACTAGTTTGAAGGTAGAACAAAAGTGAGGGATGAAAAAGAGTCTTACCCAAAATAGAAGGACCTGGAAATGGAAATATTCAAACTAAAGACTTTTTGCAAGTCTACGTGACGCGCTACATACATTTTGTTTTTCCTCTCCAACGTGTTTTTTAACCGCGTTGTACTTTCCGCCAACCTTCCTTCTCTCAACATCAATTTTTTTTCGAACTAATCCGCGTTATTTTTATTTTTATTTTTTATTATTCAATTGGATTAATAATATTATTATTTTTATTATTATCTTGTAATTAATAATCTACATATATTGATTTGTAGTCACTCTCTTATAAGTACCTTTCTTCTTTCACGCGGTTCTTTTTTTTTTTTTTCTAACTATTGTTTGAATTGTTATTATTAGCATATATTGTATGTAACACCCAAAAAAAAAAAAATTAATAATAAAAAAAAATAGTCGATCCAAGATCATTGAATACCAAAGAAAAAACCTCACCAGTGAGTACTACATAAAGACACACAATGAATGTTTGTGAGTTAAATACATAAATAAACTAATAAACAAATTTGCTTGACTTGTTTGAGCATTGTGTTTGTTTATTCTTACAATGAAGTTGCCGAGGTAGTTTCCCCCGAATGATAACTAACTGCTTCTATTTATATCAATTGGCGGCTCATAGTTTTAGGCTACCTACCTGTCTTTGGTTTTTTTTTTCCCGAACCCCTTTGAATAGTTTTTTATAGATTGTGAAATTTTTTGTCTGTTTGATGGTACTAAAACGACAACTTAGGCAGAAGGGTGATGAGGATTGTTCCGATCCTGCTAAACGCCGTCGTTTTGTTTCAGAGTACTTGATTTCTTTTGCTCTTCTTCTTCTTTTTTCTTTTTTTTCTGTTTTTAAATTTAAATAGTAATTATTAAAACTAATTTTGTTCATTGGATTTTTGTGCAGTATATGCAAAGGCCTCAATTATGGTCGAACTCTGCAAGAATCTGTATCTTACTTGGAACCCATGATTAGAAAATGGGTATGTATTTATTTTATTGATTAATTTCGGTCTATATATGTTGTCGTGCTTGCAATAGGAATCAATAATTAAATAAATAATAAACCTTTCTTTATTTGGCAATTTGCATATATTAGAAAGAATAAAAACAGTTTGTTTGTTAAAGTTGTTATTCACCATACTTTTACTCGATATGAATTGACATATATGATGTCTAAAAATGTAAATATTATTTGTTTGATTTATCATTATATGTCTTTTTTTGAATCCTCGTATTTATTATTATATATTGTCCTTGTGTGGATAGGTGCAGGAGGCAGTCGAGCTATCACTCGAAAAAATTCTGAGGTCAGTCTTTCCTTTTTTTTTTTTTTTTTTGTTATTTTTACGGAATCGTAATTTCCCTATTTTTCGATCTTCAACCATGCTTTAATTAATTAATGTTGATTAAATAATTAAGCTAATCGGATGTTTGTTGTAGACCCTCATCATATGATGAACAAGTGGAAGGTTCTGGATCAAGGAATTTGCAACTGCTATTTGATAGCAGTTTACCCCACACCCTTTTTACGGGCAATAAAATCATGTCCCGGGACGAAAGCCCTGTGAAACTTGTGATGTACGATTCAAACTCCAACGAAATAATAACGTGTGGTCCCCTATCTTCACTCAAAGTTAGCATTGTTGTTCTTGATGGTGATTTTGGAGCTGCTAATGATTGGACGAAGGAGGAGTTCGATAGCAAAATTGTTAAGAACAGAGAAGGCAAAAGACCATTAGTTACCGGACAAGTGAAACTCACTTTGCAAGGTGGAGTCGGTTATTTAAGTGATTTAATCTTCACCGATAATTCGAGCTGGATTAGAAGTGGTCGATTTCGCTTGGGAGCCAAAGTGCATACTAATTCCGATCAAGTCGACATTAGAGAAGCAATGAGCACTCCCTTCAAAGTCAAAGATCATCGCGGGGAGTGTAAGTTTTTCCTTTTTTTTTTTTTTTGAACAGTTTAAACTTTTGGTTGAAATGGTAATTCAACATATGTATATGTGTGGCAGTGAGTATTGATAATGATCAATTGTTTCAGCTTACAAGAAGCATTACCCACCATCCCTTGACGACCAAGTATGGCGATTGGAGAAGATTGCTAGAGATGGTCCGTCCCATAAAAAGCTGACTCTTTCTGGAATATTCTCCGTAGGCGATTTCTTGAGGCTCTACGCTACAGACAAGTACCAACTACGCAAGGTAAGAGACTTGTTTTCTCGATTCATTTTGATATAATAATAAAATTTCCACGATTGAAATATTTGACCATATATTGTGAATACATGGTTGTAGATACTTAAAGTGTCTAACAAAACATGGGAGACAATCTTCAGACATGCTACAACTTGTTCTTTAGACGATAAGAAATACGTGTTCGGGACTGCAACCGGGACGGGGCTTTTCTTCAACTCCATATATAATGTTATTGGAGTCACTTTTGACGGCCAAGATTACCATTCCATGGAGAGTCTCAACCCTTATCAGTTGGTACCTATCTTTACCCTCTATACTTTTTTTCGTGCTAGTAAAAGATTACATTCCTAAAGGCATCATTTGATGGAATGTATCATTTAATATTAATATCGAATAAGCACCGTCAAGTGCATGTGAATTACATTTCTATAGCCTTGCACTTGCTGTGAGATTCGAGCTCAGGACCTTTCATTTGGCCTGATTTTCATACCAATATTGAATAGTCGCCCCAACCTGAAGTTACACTATTCGTGAAATGTATCATTTAATATTAATATCTCTAATCCTTGTTTGATAGACTTGATTAGCCTGATATATTACTAATCAAGGTCATTATTTAATGATACGTCGGTGGGTTTCAGTATGTGACACACTTACATATTTATTAAACAGAGGGTGGTCGAAGAACTGAAGCAGCATGCTTATAAAAACATAAACGAGTGGGTTTCAGTTTGTGACCCAGTAATTGTTGGATACCCGATGCTCGTGGCAACTACATCACCCGACAGTTTTACCAATCCTAATGTGGATCTTCATGGTATCAATTTTCAAGAACTAGGTACTGAAATTTCTTATAATTGAAAATTTGTTACATATATAATTTTTGAGTACTCGTGTCATATACTGATCCGGGCTGCCGTTTATTTGTTTGTCGTATGAAGATGAACCGCCTCCTTATAATTGTTTGTTCGAAGTAGGGGAGAGTTCAAATTCAATGGAATGCTTCGACTCACCGACATCAAGAAACTGTTTTGGGATGAGTAGTGATTATTATTGTCCAGGTGGTGGACTCTATATTGATAACTATGTGGCGGGGGGGTCGCAGTCACATCTGTCAACTGACGATCTACCGATAGATGATGGTTTTCAGGTTGAGTCATCGTCATCAGCTTTGCAAGGGAATAATTATAATGGATTATTTGTTGATTCTTTTGTCAACGGTGGAATATCTGACCGCATATCCAAAACAAGGTGGTGTAAGGTTCTGGCGGTGGTTAAGTGGCGGATACTTGTTAGGCGTAATGTGGCTGCAAGAAAATGGAACAGTTTCTACAGCTACATGTAAATATATATGGGGCATATATAGTTCTGTTTGTAAGGTTTTAGAGTAACTTTTGTGTAATTATGTGATTAGGTTTGATGGTCTTTGGGTAGTTTCATGTTCAATCCATCGATCGGTGAAGACTCGATTCGATTTGCGAAGATGCGGTCGTTGCTAAGGTTGCATTCCCGGTGTTGTATGGTTTACTTTTTGTGTTTGTTATTCATTCATTTGTATGGTGTCTTGTGCATGAAAATCATGTTTGGTGCTTGTACAAACAAACTGTTTTCGGAATAATAATGTTTATGGTTTGAATCCCTCTTTGTTATAATTTATTTTTCTTGATTTGAGTTTATTAAAGTACATATACATGTTTTTGTTAGATAAGTTTTTTTTTTTTTTTTTTTTTCGGGTAAATTACAATCACCCCTGAGGTATGGTCAAATTACAAAAAACTCCATCTTGGATAATTACAACCACCCCTTTCAAGTATAAATCATTTTACACGTCCACCCTTGCGGTTTCAAATTTCATGGAATTTTTGAAATTATATGAATTATTATCACTTTTGTACCCGTTTTATCCTATTTGAACTCCACATTTTAAAGCAAGATGATCATAATATGTGTTTTTAAGCTTGTATATATCATGTTGTGGTGCATTAAAACCTGTATTTTTACACCAAACGAGTACAAACTAGAGACATTTCACGAAATCTAGATGATTATGTTGAATTTGACACCATAAGGGTGGAGGTGTAAGAAAAAATCATAGCTGATGGGTAGATGTAATTACCCAAACAAGAGGGTTTTTTTCGTAAATTGACCATACCTCAGGGGTGGTTGTAATTTACCCTTTTTTTGCAATTTCTTTTTTTTTTTTAAATTATTTATTTATTTATTTATTTTTTTTTTTTATCTATAGCGGTTTTTGCAAAAGCTTATTTAAAAATAGAAGTTAGTGATTGTTAGTTAAATGCGTATTAAATGCGTATTTTTAAAAGTTGGTGATGTTTGCATATACTCTGAAAATAACTTAATTAAAATAGATGAAACAGGTCTTGGGGTGCTTTTAAAGAAGGGTGAATGACAACCCACGACAAGGGAGTTAAATGCACGTAGAAGTCCAGGCAAAAAACAATCTTGCAAATAAACTCATCTCCATGTCTTTTGTCTAAAAATACACTCCATCAAATAATTTTATCAATTCCATCAATTATATCCTAACTTCATCATTATTGGAAATTGACACCGCATTTGAACAAATATATCACAATAATCTCCATTTTCATAAAAAAATTTGTTTAAATATTTTTTTTTTTTTTTTTTCAGAAAATGATTTTTTTTGAATTTTTCTTTTCCGCAAGATTTTGGTGTTGAATTTTTTTTTTTTTATTGAAAACTTTTTTTTTCTGAAATTGTTTTCCAGCCGGTCAACAGCTGTTGACCGCAAGTCTCCGATGTTGATTTTTTTTTTGAAACATTTTTTTTCTCTCTAAATTACTGTGTTAACAACAAAATTATTGTCTAAGATATTAATATTGAATACCAAAATAGTAATATTATTGTCGCAAACAGTAATATTATTGTCCCGAACACTAATATTATTGTCCCGAACTGCAATATTACTACTATTACTGTCCCAAACAGTAATATTATTGCACAAGATATTACGGTCGAAGACAAAAAAATTGTAGGAAAAAAATGATAAAATTAATTAATACAGTAAAATTACTATCTCAGACAATTAAATTACTCTATCCGACAGTAATATAGCATGCGAAGACAATAATATTAATTAAAATATAGCAAAAGACATTTAAAAAAAACAATAGCAAATTACCTGTGCGTTTTCGATTGTGCAATATCTTCTCGGATGTGTTTTTGTTGTTGGCGGTTCGCAAAAGTTATAGCGGTTCCATCGTTCTCGAGAACAACAATAGGGTTACAGAGATTACATAGAAGACGGGGGAAGTTTTGTTGTTTCAGGAAATTAAAGATTGAAGAATGCAATTTGGGGAGGAGGTTTTGCGGCATATCTGAAATGTCCCGATATTCCTGTAGCAACAAATTCTTATCTGCGAATTTAACAAACAAGAAAATACTTGCACAAAGATAATTTATTGAATTAAAATAAAATATTGCGGGTTACAAACTCTAATTTAATCCTCTGATTATTCTCTCAAGAAAAATATATGATTAACTTTGAATTTCGGAGACGAGTCGTTGAGTTGATCTTCTCCGGATTTGATTTGGATTTGAATAACGTCTTCCGAGGGTCTTGCGACTTGAATCTCGGATCGAACGCTGAACTTTGACGGATTTTGACTTGAAGATCTTGGAATTCTTGATGGATTTGGCCCTTCAATCTTCCTTCGATCTTGATTTGATGTTAATAACGTTAATTCGAGGGTTTAGCACCGTAATCTCGAATTAAACGCTTTAACGCCTTGATTTGATGAAGAACACCTTCGATTTGATGAACTCCTTCGATTTGATGAAGAACGCCTTGAATTTGATGAAGAACGACTTGAATATTGTAGAGAGAATTTTCTCCTACGGTTTTTATTCTTCTTGAGTTGTGTCTTGAATTGTGTAGGGAGGGTCCCTATTTATAGTGGTAGAATAAGAGTCCTACACAAAGTCTTCTTGATGACGTGGCGCGATTTGATTGGCTCTCTTTAAATTGATATTTATCTCTTATAACTTGGAAGAGAAGAAACAATCCTATTGGTCAATAATTAATTGATAATTATCTCCATGACTTATTTTGCAAGATAAATTATAATCTTGGGATTCAATTTAATATAATATAAATTATATTAAATTTACGTGTCTACAAATGCCCCCTCGAGACTTGTTCACGGACAATGCGTCTTGGAGTGAATGAGTCTCGATAATTGTTTAACTTCAATTGCAGCTTGATCTAGCAAAGCACATACATTTTTTGAAATCATGACTGGACTTAGAGAGATTCTAAGTTGCCTACGTACCCTATAGAGGGATCAAGTCATAACGTAGTTCAAAATATATCCTTTTGAGGGATGTCATGCACAGTTTACACTCATGTGGACAAGGAGAAACATTTGCAGTTTAAGCTCGTGCTGAAGGAGCATTTGACTTGAATTTGTAGATAGTTTACGCTCGTATCAAGGAGTCTTGACTTGATTCCGATATATAGATAGTTTATGCTCATATCGAGGAGCCTTGACTTGATTTGGATATATAGATAGTTTATGCTCGTATCGAGGAGCCTTGACTTGACTTGGATATATAGATAGTTTATGCTCGTATCAAGGAGCCTTGACTTGATTTGGATATATAGATAGTTTATGCTCATATCAAGGAGCCTTGACTTGATTTGGATATATAGATAGTTTATGCTCATATCAAGGAGCCTTGATTTGATTTGGATATATAGATAGTTTATGCCCGTATCAAGGAGCCTTGACTTGATTTGGATATATAGATAGTTTATGCTCATATCGAGGAGCTTTGATTTGATTTGGATATATAGATAGTTTATGCTCATATCGAGGAGCTTTGATTTGATTTGGATATATAGATAGTTTATGCTCATATCGAGGAGGCTTGACTTGACTTGGATATGTAGATAGTTTATGCTCGTATCAAGGAGCCTTGATTTGATTTGATCTTGTAGACATTTTAAACTCGTGTCAAGGAGTATTTCATTTTTTTTTTGGACATGTAGACCTTTTAAACTCGTGTCAAGGAGTGTTTCATATGAACTTGAATTTGATATGTGCTCGTAGACCTTTTAAACTCGTGTCAATGAGTGTTTCACTTGACTTGGACTTGTAGACCTTTTAAACTCGTGTCAAGGAGTGCTTCATTTGATTTGGATATGTAGACCTTTTAAACTCGTGTCAAGGAGAACTTCATTTGATTTGGACATGTAGACCTTTTAAACTCGTGTCAAGGAGTGCTTGATTTGATTTGACTTGTCATATTGCATAGGGTGTTGTTTTGCCCCCATCCTCGTGATCTTCTTGTTCTTCTTCGACATGTTCTTCATTGAGCTGGTACGACTTTTGGAATGAAGGTTCTTTGACTTCATTTGCAGTTATACTCAATTCCATATCATGTGCTCGAGTGGCCAACTCTTCAAAACTTTTAGGTTGAATTCCTTGAAGGATATATCGGAGTCCCCATTGCATTCCTTGGATGCACAGTTCAATAGCTGATGTCTCGGGCAGTCGATCCTTGCAATTAAGACTCAAATTTCTCCAACGGTTGATGTAGTGGATGACAGGTTCCTTCTTCCATTGGCGGGAATTGGTGAGCTCAATCATGCTGACTGTTCTTCGAGTGCTGTAAAAGCGGTTGAGAAATTCTTCCTCTAAGTGCTTCCAACTATCGATGGAGTTTGCCCCCAAATCAATGTACCAATCAAACGCATTGTCTTTGAGCGATCGGACGAATTGCTTGACGAGGTGATCTCCGTACGTCCCGGCATCATTGCAAGTCTCGACGAAGTGTGCCACATGTTGCTTGGGGTTGCCTTTGCCGTCAAATTGTTGAAACTTTGGAGGTATATAGCCCATTGGCATCCTTAGATCATCAATCCTTTGCGTGTATGGCTTGACATAGGTTGATGGTGACTTCGAGCTTCCTTCCAACTTGTCTTTGATGGTTCCACTGATCAGCGTTATCACTTGATCTACATGAATCATCCCTTCTGGAGAAACTTGAAGTTCTTGAGCTGGAGCCTTCTCGTTTTCAACTGGTTGTTGCTTTGTGGATGTCTCGACTTCGTCTTGAACTTCTATCTGATTCTCCACAACTTGACTAGCATCGGCTTTGTCCATCTTGTTGATCAACTCGGCAATTTGAGAATCTCGTTGTTGAACATGCTTTGTGAGTCCCTCAATTGCCTTTGTCAAACTTGCAATTTGCTCCTCCATGGTTGTAGCGTTTGTTGTCATGACGGATGCCACCTCTGAGTAGCTTGATGTTGAACGAGGCGTGGGCTGTGAAATCTTTCGTTTTGAACCTTCCACGTCTGCGCTTGTGTTGACAAGAGGTGGTAAGCCTTTCTGAATGGTTTGAGGCGTCGAGTTAGTCTCGGAGGACGCTTGCAGCTGCAACACTTCGAGGATCTTCGAGAGAGAGAAGAGATGAGAGGTAGAGATGTCCCACCGGGCGTGCCAAAATTTGTAGCAACAAATTCTTATCTGCGAATTTAACAAACAAGAAAATACTTGCACAAAGATAATTTATTGAATTAAAATAAAATATTGCGGGTTACAAACTCTAATTTAATCCTCTGATTATTCTCTCAAGAAAAATATATGATTAACTTTGAATTTCGGAGACGAGTCGTTGAGTTGATCTTCTCCGGATTTGATTTGGATTTGAATAACGTCTTCCGAGGGTCTTGCGACTTGAATCTCGGATCGAACGCTGAACTTTGACGGATTTTGACTTGAAGATCTTGGAATTCTTGATGGATTTGGCCCTTCAATCTTCCTTCGATCTTGATTTGATGTTAATAACGTTAATTCGAGGGTTTAGCACCGTAATCTCGAATTAAACGCTTTAACGCCTTGATTTGATGAAGAACACCTTCGATTTGATGAACTCCTTCGATTTGATGAAGAACGCCTTGAATTTGATGAAGAACGACTTGAATATTGTAGAGAGAATTTTCTCCTACGGTTTTTATTCTTCTTGAGTTGTGTCTTGAATTGTGTAGGGAGGGTCCCTATTTATAGTGGTAGAATAAGAGTCCTACACAAAGTCTTCTTGATGACGTGGCGCGATTTGATTGGCTCTCTTTAAATTGATATTTATCTCTTATAACTTGAAAGAGAAGAAACAATCCTATTGGTCAATAATTAATTGATAATTATCTCCATGACTTATTTTGCAAGATAAATTATAATCTTGGGATTCAATTTAATATAATATAAATTATATTAAATTTACGTGTCTACAATTCCAATTAAATACCGAATATTTCCTAAATTTTTAAAAATCGTTTCAATGGTGATATTTTCTTTTAGGATTTTTGGGTTTATTTATTTCCAACTAAACTTCCGAAAATTTGTTCTAACGGTGAGTTTTTGGATTTTCGAAATCTCCATATATTTGGAAAATAATGCAATTCTAACATAGTTTTGGTGTTTTGGATTCCGAAAATTTCAAAATTGGAATAACAAGTGTTATTTGATTTCCGAAAAAGATTTGGAATATTTCAAAAAATGTTTATTTCCTAATTGAAATTGAAAGACGCAATGGCAGATGACGTAATTTCAGTCGCCATGAGCCCCAAATTCCAAACCCCACCAAGAAAAATATCTTGTCCCATTTCTCGAAGCTTCCCCGCGGCGTACTCCCATTTTCTCTCTCTCTCTCTTTTCTTCGCAGATATTTTCACCTCTGTTAATTCGCCATTTCTTCTTCAACGTATAATGAAAAAACTTTGTACTTGTTATAATTCCGCCTGGTTTCTCCAATTCTCGTAATCAATCAATTAACTAACCGGGTACGGGTACGGGTATGGATCGAGAGGGGGGATCCAACATCCGATCTCAATGCTACTACTCTGTGCTTGGGATTTATAAGGACGCCTCCTTCTCAGACATTCGTTCCGCTTACCGGAAGCTTGCTCTGGTAATTTTAACAATCATGATTATTTTCTTCTTCTTCCGCAATTCTATTTTTCTATTTAATCATGACGTCATCCTCTGTTCTTTATGTAACAACACTTCAATTAGGAAATTTTGATTGAAACAAAAAAAAATAATCTATTTTTATTTGGATGGTAGAAATGGCATCCAGACAGGTGGGCGAAGAACCCCTCCGCCGCCGCCGCCGGAGAAGCCAAACGCTGCTTCCAGAAAATCCAAGAAGCCTATGCAGGTTCATATACATTTCAATAAATTCAGTGAACTGTGATGCATTTGGGGGTTTGGTTGTGTATAATTAATTTGATTAAAAATTGCTGCAGTATTGTCTGACAAGGGGAAAAGGTCAATGTATGATGCCGGATTTCTCGATCTCTTTGAGGAAGACGAGGTGCGTCCCCTTATTGATCTTAAGTATCTCATATATTTGTTTTTTTTTTTCACACACTAATTCTTAACTAATATTTGAATATTCGTTTCTTGTTCGAATCTAGTGTATATTCATTTTCGTGTTGTCGGGACATAACATTGGATATGCTAGGAAAACTCTTAAATAAATACATATTTATCATCTATAATTGAGTTCCTTTATATTTAGGTATCATTGAAATAAATTTAATTGATAATTGATAGTGTGCAAACGATTATAAGCAATGAAATTATTTGCACTTGTTTGAAAACCAAATTTGCAAATATGGCAATCAGGGTATGGGGGACTTCTTGCACGATTTGATGAATATGATGGAGCAGAATGTGGGGAGTGAGGTACGACGGAATATCTTTCCATTTCAAATGGTGCGATATTAAATTAAGTAACACCGCATAATTCTAAATATTAAAAATTTGTTTTGATTAGAAGAAGGAAGAAAGCTTAGAGGATCTGCAGAAAACATTTGTGGAATTGTTCGGTGATGATGTGGCGGATATGATACATGAGAGTGATGAACAAGTGATACGGAGACGGACATGCGACAGTGGGAGCAATGCAGGGGCTGCTACACACAAGCGTAATGCCTGCGTTTGACGTTTCTTTTATTTCCATTGTATTCATCATTTGCCCTTAATTGTAGATTTGGTAATGTGTCTCGTAGTTTGGTGCCTGTAAAACTTTGCCGTCAAGCTATTCTCGTTGTATAATGAACTCTGTTCTTTCGACCGAATATGTATCTCATGCTTAGGGCATCTCAATGAAATTTTTAAGACTTGAGTCTCAAATGATTAGCTAATATTAGTTAAATAATAAGGTTCAGTTTGATGTTTGGTTAGTAATATTATTTTTCGGGCATTCTGCAAAAATAATTTTGTCATGGCTGATTGGGAGAGTACTAATTGGACCTCGAGAGATTCAATAAAATTATTTTCCTATAATTAAATGCATTAATGACAAAATTGTCCTAGTTTGAGAATATGTGACTACGGATTCCTACAGTATCAAACGAGTGTCTATACGCGACTACGGACTAGTACGGTTTTTTTACGGGTTTCTATAGATGGCTACGGCCGGAAAAAAAAAAAAAAAAAAAAGAGAATCATAATTTTCAACACTAGGTAGAAAGAAAAAGGAAAACAAATATGAAAATGCCAAAAAAAAAAAAAACATGTTTTACGGGAAAAAATAATAACAAAAAATGCTAGATGCAAAAATCAAAATGTGTAAATGCATAATGAAAAATGATAAATACAATTTAAATATTACTTGGTGCATATTTTATTTTTTATGTGTGGGAGGCATTTTTAGAATGAAATTTACAAAGGACTTGAATAAAATGTTTAGTTAGACTTGTCATTTAGTTCTGATAAGGTTTGTGAACAGAGACTTGTATCTTACGATCCCTTAAATTTTAGATCCACAAAATCCGGTTCTTAATTATTATTTTCATATCTATTAATGCTTAATATATATGGGCTATTAGTGAGAACCCCTCTACCATTTTTTTTTATAAGGATCGGTCTAGCAATTTTTCACTTATTAGTGGTAGACCCACTTCCCCATTTATCCCAAAATTTACCCTCCCCACTATTCACTCCACATTATCCACTACTATTATTTTTTTTATATATATAATTTAAAAATAATTTCGTTTTCTTATTAGTTTATTTAAAAACTAACAATAATATCTTTAAAAAATATTTTTGAAAAATAATTTTTCTTTTGGTTTTTTTTCTATTTTTTTTAATTTCAGTTTTTTTGTTCGGAATCAACTATAAAAATTTCGAAACCAAATAAAGTATTTCTGACATCGACAATAATTTCGATTTTTTTGACAATAATTTCGATTTTTTTTTATTCCATTTTTCTTAATTTTAATTTTCAGTTTTTTTTTTTTGGATTTTTTTTCCCGAAACAACTATTTTTTTGACTTTTTTGTTTACTGAAAAACAACTATTACATAAAATTATTTTTACAGAATCAACTGTTCGTTTTTTTCGCCATAATCAACTATTAGAAAACTGTAAAACAACTATATAAAAAATAATGGTTTACAAATAGCAAATTTACATAAAATAAAAACTATGTCTGCTTCGGATGACTTGGCAGCTCTCGCTTCAGCTTCGGCAGCTCTGGCGGATTCCTTTACCAAATCGGTAATGTCCTTATTTCAATAAACTAGCCTTCGTTTCACTTGTGCTACTTGCCGCGCACAAAACCTCAATGCGTAGTATTTGCATTAGCTTAACTGGCAATCTAGACATTAAGAAACGTTCTGCTGGTTCGCTGTCGCTGAAGTTCAACGGAGAATATTATAACAAATACGAGCGCGGCGAATGCAGGATAAAAACGTAACGGACAATTAAAAAATAAATAAAAGGATTAAGACCATACCAATTACCAAACCAAGCATAGAGTAAAAACTCTCGAAAGAGGTCCGATTGAATATGTTCAATGTCTCTAATTCCGATGTATTGGGTGTCTCATCCATCACCATCACCCAACCTCCGATTATATCTAGAACATCGTCTTCAAGCTTATACGGTATCCAATGTGTTAAAAAGTTGGGCAAATTACGGCCACCCCTGACCTATGGTCAAATTACGAAAACCACCCTCATGTTTGGATAATTACAGTCATCCCCTAAACTATGTATTTATCTTACGAAAAGACCCCTCCAAAGGTAAGTTTAGAGATGTTAATTCGGTAAAACCGGAACAAAATTTCGGTACGTCAACATTTCATACCGTTTACCGAACAAAATATACGCTTTGGTTCGATAAATAACCAAGTTACATAAATTTTAGGTAAAAATTTTTAAAAGGAGGGGGTGGCTGTAATTACCTAAACAAGAGGGGTTTTTTCGTAATTTGACCATACATCAGGGGTGACCGTAATTTGCCCTAAAAAGTTGAAAATATACATTGTAAAAAAAAAAAAGAAAAAAAAAGAACTACAATAAAAACAAATTGCATTCAAAATATTGTACACTTACCAACCAACTCGACAAACAACTGAAAACAAGCCTTGCGGTGGCTGCCTTTGCCGTAACAGAATATCTTCTATTGGTTAGAATTTTTGACGATATCAACTGGAAAAATGCATCGTTCTCCTGCATGAAGAGGAAAGTACGTAAAACCAGATTTTGTTAGTAGCAAATTCTATTAAAAAAAAACGATTGGCATGTTTAGCAAAGGAAAAAACACAAGTACCTTAGTAAGTTCTATAATACGTCCAGCATCACCGAGAATGCTAGAAAATGTTAAGTATTGACCTTGATCATTCGTGTATCTAAAATATCCAAAAATAACCAAGATGAAAAATAGTTACTATAATAAAAAATTAAAAAACAAAAAAAAAAAAAAAGTTTTTTCTCCAAGATGTCATGCGAACAATTACGTTATTCAAGAAAAAGACAGGTAAACACAAAAGAGGAAGGTTTTTAACTTGTACTCCTATAGGCGACAAAGTAGGCATTTACGCATCCGAAAACTTTTTTATATGTGTCGTTTATCCACTCTTTATTTCCTTTTTTTTTTTTATGTTAGTAGTTACGTTGAAAAGTAAATAAAAAAGGCACATAAACTTAAAACGAACATAAATATGACGTCGGCCGACTATTTTCTCGAACCCCACAAAAATACTTTGTCATAAATCCCCTTTAAATGGAAGTAAATAATCGAAAATGTAGAAACTCTCTTTCGAAATGCCACGTGTTCCTATCTATGTACCTACAAGAACGAGACATGTGCTCCACAAATGTCAAAAAGACGAGCTAAGAGAACGCGGGAAAGTTGCGGTCGGTAAATTATGTTTCTTTTAGGTAGTTCGTTAATTATCTACACTTAATTGGAGTTTCGTTTTTCGTTTTTTTCCGTTTATAGTTTGCGATTAGATTAGATCGACAAAAAGCTACTTCAGTTATAACCAAATAAATCCATCATAAGATAATAAGATGCTCCATAAGCAAACGTGATCTGAGCTCGAAGAAAGAAGAAGTTGAGCGCCGCTGTTGTAATGAGACTGCAAAAGAGTCAATTGAGATCTATGACTTGCAGAATTCTCCGCCACGCTTTTGCTTCCACCGTTGTAATCGGAAATTTTCACTTTACGAGAACATCCACGGTCCACCGGTCGCAATTTGAGAAGAATCTCCAAGGAAAGCCATACTAGTTAGAAGTGGCTTTGATTCGTCGCCGAAAGTTTTTCTCAGTCTGAATCTGCTGTACGTAAATTTTCGATCGATCCTTGCTGTCACATTAGACGAAGAATTGGGGCACTGTTTTGGCTCCGGGCAGGAATGATGGTGCAAGAATGAAAGTGGGGGCAAAGTCGTAATTGGAGCTGAGGTTTGGTCGTGTTGCTACTTCAAATACTGAATGACGAGTGAATGTAACGTTATTCTCTCGGGGTAAAGTCGTAATTGGGCTTGACTCGTCTTTCTGGTGGTGCAGTCTCGTTCAGCTTTCGCTTCATTAGTTAGACTGAAGTGGATGATAATGGCCGCCCTTGTGCATTTTTTAAAGAGCTTTTATTTCCTTGTTTGCATGAACAGCTTTTCAAGCTTGTCGATATCCTTGTTCTAGCTTCTCTCGTTCAGAGGAAGCGTGCTGATGTGGCACGATGGCTGCATTTGATTCATCGATGATCGATTGAGAAGGGCAGACGAGATTTACCAACAGATGCAGCGCCGGCTCAACAACCTTTGAACATATTTGTCACAAGAAATGTGCAGTAATTGGGAATTTAGCAAACCGAAAAAATGGAATGTAATAATAATTAAGAATCAAAATCATACTTCTGGTTTAACGTCGGCAGGGGTCATTATTGCATCCAAAATAACAGCCATGCCGACTCGACCATTGCTTAGTGTTGCGTTTATGATAATTTCACGGCTATAAGGAATTAAAGTTACGATATGCAATACACCGAGTACGGTTGAAGCGGATCTTGTAACCTATCCCTTATTGATATGTTCTGTAGCAAAAACAAAAAAATTATATATATATATATATATATATATATATATATATATATATATATATATATATATATATATATATATATATATATATATATATATATATATATATATATAT